AAAGCCAAAACCCCTAAACCCCTGAAAATCCCTGAAGCCCCAAAGCCCGAAATTCCTCTGTGGTGGAGTCGATGAGGTCCAGGACCTCCCGGCCATCAACGAAGCCCAGGACGGCTCAAACTTGGGTTAGGGCTCCGGGCTTTAGGGGCCCTAAACCCTAAACCCTAAACCCTAAACCCCTAAACCCTAAACCCTAAACCCTAAACCCTAAACCCCAAACCCTAAACTTTAGGGTTTATGAAGCAAGCCAAGGAAGGGTAGGGCTCCGGGCTTTCGGGTTCCTCTAAAGGGACCTATAAGGGCTCTATAAACGAAGGTTGCAAGTTTAGGGTTTGGGCTTCAGGGTTTAGTTTGGGTTGAGGGTTTAGCAGCTTGCGGATTCAGGGCTTTAGGGTTTTTAAGTTTGGGTGTCGGATCGTGGGCTTCTGCTCAGGTTCACGGTGACTGGTACGCGCCGGGCTGTGAAGCTTACGATATGGGGGTTTCCGAAAATAGGGGACCCTAATATAGTACCCTGAATAGTAGGATCCTTATCAGAAGGACACCAAAATAAGGTACCCCTTTTTTTGTTCGGAAACTCCCATATAGAGCTGCTTTCAGCATAGTCGCTAGCTTCGAGGGTCTTGCTGCCACAGCCTGGTGGTCGAACATTGACGGTTAGTGCTGGATTCGACAGGAATCGTGCTTGTGCTGACAGGGAGCACCGTGTTCACCGTTCATTCGGGGGGTTGTTTCTCAAGAGTGCTCCCGTGCTGAGCTCGTACCAAGGTCTTGCAAGAATCGTTGCTACTGTGACGCGTCTCCTAGTCCTACCAAAGGCATCCCACTAAACCCGACGCTGACGCTGAACTTCTCGGCCTGTGGAGCTTGCTCGACACCAACCTGCGCGAGGAAACGGCGACAATGCCGACGATAGACATTGCGGTTTGGGGTTACAGGTTGGGGTTGGCTGAGTATCTTAGCCCACAACCGGTTCTTCTTTTACATTATCTTACGTATGTGTATATATGCATATATCTATCTATCTATCTATCTACATATATATGTATATATATATATATGTACGTACATGTTATTTTATCTATATTTTATGCAACAAGCCTAGTCTTGAAGGGATAGCCCTACCCCGAGGTCCCTACAAGCCCTTCCTGCATTATTGGCCCACAGTATGTGCTCCCCCATTACAGTAACAGTCTACGTTAAGGGTACGATTTCAGGGGCCTTATGCCTCTAAATGGCTGCAGTACCCACACTATGGCGGTACCCATAGACACCTAGCCCATCTAAGTAGCTGCTCCCCAGCCGCGAACACGCAACCCTAAACCATAAACCCTGAGCAAGCCCTGTTGCTTCAACCGGACATCTGCTACTTCACTCTGCAGGAAAGCGCAATCAGAGCTCTCGCGTCACTGTATGCCGCAAAACGCCCGACATTCTGTATATTGGCTACTACAGAAGTCCTTACAACTGCGCTGACTATTCAGCCCCCTGACGTCGAAGCCTATACCGCAAGCCGTCAGTACACCCTCCAAAGCGCCTTGCCGAAATTCATCTTCCTGCGTGCAGAGACCTTGGGAAGACAGATTTGGGGTTCGTAGGTTGGGTTTAGGGTTGTAGGGTTTAGAGTTTAGGGTTTTGGGGTTCTCCGGGTTCGGGGTCTTTCAGGATTTTGAACTGTCGGGCTTTTGGGATTTGGAGTTTAGTGTGTTCAGGGCTTCGGGGGTTGTATGGCCTTCCAGCTTAAGGATTTTTACGGATCTAGGATGTTTTGGTGTAGGGTTTTAGGAATATAGGGCTTTGGGCGTGTAGGGTGTTGTAGGGAGTATGGAACAACTTGGATATGCTGTTTCAATGGCTCATGGCGTAGCCGATGTCTGTGCGATTTGATGCAAATCCAAAACCTGGAGTGAAAGCAACGTGTGGCGCTGTCAGGCGTGGTCTTTGGGAGCAGGAGCAGTTTTGACTTTTGACATCTACAGCCAGATCCATTCGCTTGCATGTCCTATCTTGCAACGCCAGCATCCGAAGCTCATGGACTTGGAAACGGGACATACACCAGATTTCGTCAGAAAAACATGAGCTTTCTTTTGACTCATGCATAGACTTCCTAATATGTCATCTCGTCGAGGCCCCTTACAGTGATTCCACTTCTGCGCCTTGCCTTGAACATGGTGATGCAGAGAGTGTAGGGTCGTGGGCAAATAGGGGTGAGGGTTTAGCTAGGGATCGGGTTCCGTTATGCTCATACAAGGATACATGACAGAAAGAACAGGTACACAAATAGAGTATTCCAGAACTCAATTCAAAGCCCACACAGCCTGCAGCATGTTGGCAAAGATGAGCCCGAGCTTGAAATTTCCCGCCACAGGAGAGGAGATGTTGCACATGGCCCTCTTGTCCTGCCGGGAGCGACCGAACCCCAATCCCAAGCGCAAGACCTTAAAGCCTGAACCCTAAGTCCCAAACTTTATACTTTTTAGTAGCCTGACCTAAACACTGAAACCTCGCTGCTGGAAACAAAGTTCCACAGACCCCTCACGAAGCTCTTCTAGCTGCCCGAAATGTGAACCTCAGAGTTTTGAACTCCCATGCCCTAGTTGCGACACGGACTTCCGTATCCCTGTCACATGATGGTACTATCTATCTTAGTTCTCTAAATGAGGGGCCTTGTCTGAATCCCCCCATCCAATCTTTTGCAAGCCTGCTAGCCCGGGTTTCGGGGCTTCTTTAATTTACCTGAGAAATGATATGACGAATCCAAGAAACGCTCTTGCTAATTATTCGGGTTCCTATGCTAAGCACAGCATGCGCTTTACAGGAAGGCTGCCCGCTATGGCACTTCAAGCTTGCAGCAGGGAGCGTGAATGGAGGACGCGCATTAGAGAACTGTTTGACCGGTACTGTAACGTCTAGGATGTAGTGTTGTAGGTAAGATGGGTTTAAGGCGTGGGTCAGGGAGTGCATTTGGTGTTTACAGGGTTAAAGCTTGTCGACCTCAATCGTAGGGGTGACGGTGTTGTGGGTCACGGTCACGGTCTCATGTTGGCTGCCTCAGCCCTGCTAGGTCCCGTGATTCCGCATGGCAGGCGGCTATATGCATACAGGACAAAAGGAAAACGAGGACCACGAAAGTATGAGGACAGGGTTGAGAGTTTGGGGGATCTCTCTGCCATTGTGAGACGGTTCTGAGGGAATCTAAACCCTGAAACCTGAACCCTAAAAAACTAACGGCCGAAACCCGAAACCCCAAAGAATTTAGTGTAACCCCGAAACCTACACCCCTTCTAAGCCTGAACCCTACACCCCAAACAGCCGAAACCCCAAAAGCCTCCCTGCATGGCCGGTCCGATAGCAGGACCGCCGGAGCACGGTAGCCATCTCCACCCAGCGTGCATTCCACGAAAGTCTTGTTTTCCTTTGTCTCAACCGACATGCTACAAGGTTCATTCGGGAGCCTAGCTACCTCGTCGTGTACAACCGGTATGCAGGCACAAACGCGCTGCAAAAAGCGCCATAGGCATTTTTGCAGCTTTGCCTTTGGAGGCCTCAGTTTCAGTTCACACCTCAGAGATTTCAGATTTGGGGGCTTCCGAAAACAGGGGACCCAAATATGGTACCCTAAATAGTAGGATCCTTATTATAAGGACCCCAAAATAAGGTACCCCCAATTTTCGGAAACTCCCATTTCCTGGCTGGCAGAGGAAAGCCGGCAATCAAAGTGCGAGCTCCAGTCTCCCAAGCTACTCGCACATCCTGTTGTTCAGGGTTGATTCGCTACACAGCGCATCCTAGGTCCTATAGATGTTGCAGTATGTTTAGGGTTTAGGGTTTAGGGTTTAGTAATAGCATGCATCAGAAAGCGCCAGGAAAATCTTGAAAGCGCAGGCCCGGGCTTGCGGTGGAACTCGCTTTAACGAGTGGGCCTGCACCTGTTCAACCATTGCTCCCGCCGTACTGCGGCACCAGGTAACATAGGCGCAGTAGGTTAGGTCTTAGAATGGGCTGTTGGAGCATGCGCATGCTACAGGATAGTCATATAAGATAAGGAGGAGCCGCAGGGACCAATCCTTGTGATCATGCAGGCTTCTATACTCGGTGAGAGGGTCTCGGGTTCTGAAGCTGCCACGGAGATATTAAGTTGGCCACCTGTCGACCCAATGTTGCTTCAACTATGTGCAAAAATAGCCCACTCAATAAAGAGCCGGAAGTACATGAAAAGCATCTTGGGGCCCTCATACAGACCCTTAAATAATCCGATCCCGGCAAGAACGCACTGAACGCAACTATCAAGAGTGTGGAGTGCTAACTGGTATCGCATTTGTCTCCGGCCAGGTAGCGATCGGGATGATCTCCGGAAATCGGCGGCCGGTCAGTTCCACAAGAACGGTTTCACCTTGTTCATCAGGGTTTAGGGTTTTGGTTTATCAAGCGAAAAGGCCTCAACCCTTGACATAGAAATACTCATAAGATCAGTACGAGCAAGAGGAACAGGATGGTAAGAGCAGTAGCCGTAGAGTCATTGAAGCAACTCATCACGGTCAGTCCTCGCTGGGCTCATCCAGATAACCGTGCCAATAACAGTAACAAAAGGAATCATAAGAATAACAGTAATGACATAAACATGTATACTAGTAACTCGCAATATGAACCCAAGGATCCTGGTAGGAAAAGTACTATAGTACCAATAACAATCATCATAACAATCATAAGACTAAGAACATTTATACCTGTAGTAACTAACCATTGTAATGATACGTGCCGATCATGAACACTCTCGTGGCCCTGAACAAAGGAAGCCTCGACCTTCCAGACTCGAAACTCACTAAATAACCCTAACCCTAAGGGTCCAAAGGACCCAATAATCAGGTACTTCGGTTTCGGATAGTAGTTATGTAGGTTACTACTTGGGAGAGTATATGATTATTAGGTACTTGGACCCTTAGGGTAAAGCCTACCTGGGTTCAGGGTTTTTGTCCCACCCGCCCAGCTGACAAAGTCGCACCGCAGGGAGTTCGCTGCACAGTTACGAGAGGAGGACCCAAGTGAACATACATGCCCCTTGCGCGAAGGGTTTAGGGTTTACACTCTCACAACTCGGACAAGCCAGGCGAGGATCCATAGGCGCGAAGGGTTTAGGGTTTAGGGTTTAGGCTTAGGGCCTACATTAGGCAGGTTTCAGTGTGCCGGAGAAAGTTGTAGGGTCTGCACTGAAGTCTCCAGAATGAGCATAAAGCTCGAACCCCACCTGCCACGCCGACTTTCGGGAAGAAGTCCAGAATTTGAGGTGCCACCAAGCTGTTGTTCCTTGGTCGGACTCCATCGACTTGGGCTTTGGTTGCAAGTCCGAGAAAGCTGCATTAACGGTTTAGAGTTTAGGGGTTTAGGGTTTAGGGTTTGTATTTCGACAAGTGACCCCAATAACTCGGGCACTTGCACTTTGGGGCTTACAGGGCTTCTAGGGCTTAGGGCTCCTGCAACCCACGGACAACCCATGTGCTAGGCCCCCTGATCCTTTAAGTATTCAATGGCCTGTGTAGCTGATACGAGATACCCGGAAAAACCGCAAGCAAACCGGGTGGGGTAGCCAGGGTACTAAGAGCCGCCTGTTACTCTTGGCAGGAAGGCTTGCCACAACGCTAAGACCTCATACTGCAAGCGCAAAGGCGTATCCCGAAACATAACCAACACCGCATAACGATCTGAACCCTGAGCTGGCTAAACTTCCACAGGGAACACCTGGAACCTTAAACATGCCCAAAGTTCTACATAGCCGGTTTAGGGCCAGTTTAGGGCTCCTGAACTTAGACCCCAGTATAGACAGTTCTAGAAACCCTTCTGGTACCCTTCTAGGAACCCGTATGTAAACGGCCCCTCCGAGATACCCCTAAAGCCCTAAACCCTATAGGCCTAAATCCTAAACCCTAAACCCTAAAGCCCTAAACCCTAAATACCTAAACCCTAAAGCCCTAAACCCTAAAGCCCTAAACCCTAAAGCCCTAAACCCTAAATCCCTAACCCCTAAATCCCTAAACCCTAAAGCCCTAAACCCCTAAATCCCTAAACCCTAAATCCTATAGGCCTAATCCCTAAACCCTAAAGCCCTAAACCCTGTAGGCCTCAATCCTAAAGCGTCCGAGCCTCTCCTCAGCGAGGAGACATCGGGGCACCACGGGGCCGCCCGACGGCCACTGCTCTGTGACGTCCCTGGAGTAGGGTTTAGGGTTTAGGGTTTAGGGTTTAGGGTTTAGGGTTGACCCATAGGCCCCATAGTAGTTCCTTTTTGAGATCACCTTATGGGATTCTAAATATCAATATCGTGAATTCATGAGGAAGTAGCATGAGGGTTTCCGAAAATAGGGGACCCTAATATAGTACCCTAAATAGTCGGATCCCCATTATAAGGACCCCCAAATAAGGTATCCCCTATTTTCGGAAACTCCCACATTGATCAACCCAAGAGACACAGAAACGTCTGTGGCCAAGTCGGACCCCGGAAGTGGGCAGTCCGATCCGCTGCCACCTCGGAGATGTTAGCTTAGGGGTTGGGGGTTTAGGGTTTAGGGTTTAGGGTCTCCGGGCTCCAGCCCAGGTTTTTGTTAAGGAACTACTTAATGATCGTACCATAAGAAGGAAAACCTATAGTAATTTTGATAAATTCGGAAACTTATTTAGGCTACCAGAATAAGAAATCGCTGTTTACCATAGATCACAGCTCCATACCATGGCACATTTCATGAAACTCCTTAAGAAAAACCCAGTAAGGGGTTAGGCAGGTTAGGCTATGTAGGTCTAGGTCCTGTAGATGCTTAGCAGTGCTTAGACGGGCTAGGGTACATAGGGTTAGGGGTGGTGGGGCTCTCAGGGTGAAAGCGCGGTTTGGACTGCTCGGACCAGGGTAGTGTGAATACGGATGTACGTCGGCTCCAGTGTTGAGGGAAGCCGGTGTACTCGGAGCATGACGAAGTTTGGCAAGTAGAGCTCCTTACATACAAGTCGTGTGCAGCCTGCTTGGCTATGTACCAGAATTCTTCAAGAGGGTGAGCGGGGGCTCGAAGGTTTAATGTAAGGGCCTCAACACTTAGCTATATACTATTTTGGGGGTTCCTTATTATACTAAGCAGCTGAAGGATTGCACAGAGTTACCCTGCTGCTGTAGGGCACAGCACGGGCTTAGCCTCTTCGGCTTAGGATTTATGTCTCGTTATTTTATGTGCAGAGGGATGGGTCCAAAGGCCTAGCTGCAGACTGCATGTGCGTAGCAAAACGGCCCTTGGTACGACTGGGTTAGTTAGGGTGAAGGGCAAGTTGGAGATTGACCTGCCCGACAGCTCCGAAAGTGCTAAACCCTATACCGCGCCAGATGGCAACCAGAAGCCCTGCTCAGCCTTGCGTCGACGACCGCAAGATCTCGAATTCAAAATCACGGAGAGACCCGAGGAAATAAGGAGTCAAGAGTAACCGAAACCGTCCATAAATATGTCCCCGGCCCCAACTCAATTCCTTGGCTCCCAAAACCCCCAAATCCCTAGACCCTGTCATTGCGACCCCCACACCCCGTACCCTAAACCCCAAACCCTTACACCCTGTACCCGGGACCCTAAACCCTAAACCCTGTACCCTACACCCTTAGACCCTGAACCCGGGACCCAAAACAAAAGGCAGACCCCGAGAGGTCGGCCGAAGTATTGTGCAGTTGTCAAGGCATGGCTGAGTCGAAGAGGGGCTAAGAAACCTTGGCATCGGGTCCTAGGTTTTAGGGCGTGGGGTTTGGAGTTTGGGGTTTCTAGGCTTCTTAGGGTTTAGGGCTTAGGTTCTAGTGTTTCGGGCTTGGGGTTTAGGGTTTAGGGCTTTGTAGGGTTTAGAGTTTAGGGGCTCCTGTTGTTTAAAGGGCTTTGGGGATTAGGACTTTCGGCCCTCACGCTCGGACACTCCAGGCGAGGCAGGTTCAGGATTTTGGGGTTTTGGGCCATCCGCTTAGCTTCAAAAGGTTTAGGGCTTAGGCTTTAGCCACCAGTCAAAACCCTAAACCTCTGAGCCCTCAGCCCAGAACCATCCTAAACCCTAAACCCCTAAACCCCTAAACCCCCAAACCCTAAACCCCTAAACCCCTGAACCCAAACCCTAAACCCTAAACCCAAACCCTAAACCCCAAACCCCTAAACCCCAAACCCCTAAACCCCTAAACCCAAACCCTAAACCCTAAAGCCATAAAGCCTAAAGCCCTAAGCCC